AACGTTATTCCACAAAATTTACATGTATCTCTCTCTCTGGCTGTATATCTGACTCGTGGAGACACGTCGCGAGAATTAGAAATTTAGCGCTGCCTCGAGGAGAGAATCTCGCGCGATAAAGTGGTACGAATTAAATCACTCTGTGACTCTCTTAACACGATGCGGGTAGCGTCCATAAATCTAAGGAGATCGTACCGTGGTACGTAGCCGAACGTACCGTGGAATCCACGACGTGGCGCGCGCACGCTCACGAATGTGCACATTCTTATAACCTTCTGCATAACTTTGAGAATCCGTTTGACCGAGAACGGGTATCGAGAACAGTCTTACGCCGTTATGTGATAAGTCGCGTGTCCGTTAATGTCGTTGTGCGAGTCACCCGCGTGAGTCATATTGAGTCACCTTGTCGTAACCTCGTAACATATTTGGCAGTCGGCCGAGGAAGTGTATTCTAATTGACCGAACCGGCTAAATTTATACGACTTTCCGGTTTTGCATCCTCCGCATCTTTGGACGGGAGAAACGGTGGGAGGAAGGGAAAACGAAGCGATCGCGGCATTTACGCGTAATCGACCGATGCAACAGAGAAATCCAACAGAAATATAAGTACTGGTTAGCCGTTCAATTTCCATAAGGATCGCTTAGGTCCATCCGGAGCGGTTGATACAAGTTAATGCATCGCTTCGCAACGTACACTCTGCGTATGTAGCGTGCTGCGCTGCGTTGATGCTATTGCCACCGATTGCTGATAGTAATTATCTTATCGCGCTGCGCGATCGTTCCTCTTACGTCTTACGTGTACCGCCCCGTTACGCGCTATAATATTACTTTATTAATAATAACTAACGCGCGCACGTTAATAACATCCAGACTATTCTGCAACGTTTATTAACCGCGAGGTTGACTAATCGGTGACTATATCGCGATGATCGATCGTTTCCTTAGATTCTGCGGGAAGCTAGTGTCTCGTTCGGTCGCACCATCTCCGACTCGCAATTCCTCGAGCGTAATTCCAATGGTGCTCGCAAAACCCGTCGGTCGACGACGTAAGACTGTCGCTGTCCTCTTTATCGGAGGACGTTCGCAAGATGCGCACGACCGCGAAATTATGACGCGATGGGGAAAGGAGAGAAGGAAGGAAGGTGACGAAGCGAGGAAGAAAGGAAAGGAGGGGAGGGGGGGAGGATCCATCGGATCGATTGGTACTCAAGGGCGGATGGATAGCGGCCGCTCGTAAATCGACGAAGCGGTCGTTTCCCTGCAAAATTCCGCGGCGCGAGATAGCCGATTGCGATTGAACCCGATGGGACATCCAGGAACCGTTATTCCGCCATGGTGACGCGATGGTATAGGCACCTGGTACGAAGCGCTGTGGTCCCCCATCCCCTTCTCCGCGACTCGTCTTTTCCCTCTCCAGATAGTGTGCCGTCTCTTCTTTCTTTCGTTCCTCCTCTCATCTTTTCTCTTTTTCCCTCTCGCATTTCGCGAGGTGGAAGCTCAACGAGAGCTCGTCGATCGTTTTCGCGGAGACATCGACGACGGGCCCCGGCTGCGTGGTCGCGTTGTTCACACACGTAAACATTCAATTTTGCTCTCTTTGAGTGACCGATCCTCTCTCTCTCTCTCTCTCTCTCTTTCGTCCCCGGCTTCTTTCGCCGCGCGTCGTACAACGACTCCACAGGTACTCATATGCGTGCGTTCTCTCTCGCGCGACATAATTACTATTTTAGCCGACACGCATCATCGGCTCATTCCGCGAGTCTTCCACGACCGCAACAGGTACCTACTAATGACATAGAGCGCCTCGCGTCCGCAGACTCTGTCTCGTTTCCTCGCATCGTGCAAATTATCCTCGCTGGTCGGGCGTGTACCGTTTGCGTACGTAATGTCACACGTTTCTGTCTACGTGTGGTGTATGCTTGCAGCGTATATCGATTTACGCATTAAGTATTAAACGTATTCATCCAATAGGTATCCTGAAAATCCTTGATAAGCGCGCTTGATTATCAACGTTAAAGATTCGCGCGATATCAGAAAACCTGCGAATCTGGTCGACGTGGCGAATTTATAAACGGTGCCGTTCTCACGCTAACGGCGAAAACGCAATTGCAAAATAAATTAACTTCGTGTCGGATTCGGCGATGATCCCTCGAGGCGACCGGTCCCCGTTACATGTCGTGGAAGAATTAGGCTGTAGGATCCGGAGAACACCAATATGAGGGAAAAAAATACATTCCATTATCTCTCACGGTTACATATATGGAACCCTGGTAAAGAACAGTCGGGCGATAATGCGTTTAGTTATCCGCTGTCAGATCCCTTCACTCCTGCTATCTTAACTGTCACGTGCGAAAGAGAAGGTATCAAATAAACGAGTCGAGAAGACTCGCGTATTCTAAAAGAGAATAAGAGGATGTTAAGGGGCTAGTAAATCCCTGTCAGCGTATGTGACTTAACGCATAAAGTGTCACGGCTTACCCGCTTGCACGAGCACGTATATATATATGTATAATATAAGCGTCATCGTGCGAAATAGTTGAACCCCGTTGAACGCGCGATCACGGAAGATTGTAAAGTGGGCGCAGTTTTAGGGTCCGCGTTGAAATCGCGTGTCGACCACAAATTGTCAGGCCGATGTTCATGACTTCGTCGATCCGACCGAGAATGCAAAAAAAAGAGAAAAAAAAAAACGTAAAGCGGGAAGTGGCGAATGCGGGGAATCTGGCGGGGATAGCGCGAGGTGGGCCGATCAAGAGAAAGAGAAGAGGAGGTAGGAGAAGAAACGGCGATGATGTTTTCAATGGTGTTGTACCGGCACGATCGAATTGTGCGTACCGTTTTCTGTCCTCTCTTAGAGCCGCAGCGGCCTCGGTCCCCTCCGGCAGACGTCTTCGGTCGCTCGTGGAGAAGAGAGCCACACTGCCAGGTGTACACACAGTGCCTAAGAGGCAGTCGGCCGACATAGTTACATCTCCAGTGAGCGGGATCGCGGCGAGTGGCGAGAGTCTCCCGCATTACCATCGCGAATCGTGCTTTCGTCTGTGATTTCGTGGTGGTTTGCACCATGCGCGCTAAACAAAAGTAATCGGTCCCTATATATACAATACCTACATATATACATAAATTATATACGAGTACACCTTATCTCTTCTTCGTGGTGAATCTCTCTTTTTCTCTCCTTTCTCTCTCTCTTTCTCCGTCCTCGGTCGCGTCAACGACTTAGCCCACGTTTGTGTGTACCGTTTCAGCATATTGTGCGCTAACGGCCACTCTCGAGTTCGCTCGCGCGCGCTTACCACGCGATTCCGTGAGAAAGGTTTCGTGGAATTTACCTTCGCACGGCGCAAGAGTGCCAGGATAAAGCGCCGCCGAATTGCAAGCGTGCAGCATCGCGCCTGCGGCCAGATAGCCTCGACGACGATTCGCCTCCCGCGAAATTCGACGTCGATATATCGAACGAGCCGCCCTGTCTCTCTCTCACTCTCGACTGTTCGATTCCAGGTACGTGCATGTTCCCTGGATTTTACTGTGCCGCGAATGGGTACGACGCCGACATGGTGCGCGTCGGTGTAATTATTTTTTAACGTGCAACACGTGCGTAGAGACGCACCATGTATCGCGATTGTGAAACACGACGTTACGTTGAATTTCGGCTGCTATTTTCGGCATCGGAACAAAACTGCTGGAGTTTGCGGAGATCACCGCGCGAGGCAATCCATGGGGTCATAGTGGTGTACGAAAATATCCGGCAATTTAAATTCCCGCATATGCACGTCTCCTGTTTTGTTATTTATTACACAATGTATGCAACGATGTTAAACGGAAATATGAACGATTTTCAATTTATTATCGTTACTATGTATTACTAGTTATTACTACTGTTATGCGTTCGTAATATTTTAATTGCTATTTTAATTTCTTCATGTCGTATTCATCTGAATTTAGTCATGCAAAATATGTAATGTTATTATATAATGCGGATGCTCACTGACTTTTAACAGACTTATAAATTGTGTGTGTCTATATTTTATATCTTATAATTCGAAAGCATTTTAAATTTCATAATCGTATTTCACGTTTGCACGATATTAATGTGTTAAACGTTAAACTAATCTATATTAAATGTGTGAAAATGTGTCAATTTATAGAATATTGAGATATTACATTGATTTCTATAAAAAGTTTTACGTAAAGATTTTACTTTTTAAAGCTGCTGCTGTCTGATATACTGGCTGCTCTGATGACAGTTAACCGACGGACTGTTGCTCCGAAATCCTTTTTATTCTTTTGCGACTTTGCGCAGAATTTCTAAGAACTGTCGTCGTTAAAAACATTCTTGCTCCAGCTCGCATTATTAATGCGAGCAAACCTTATTTTCCAATCTACTATTCCCGTTCCCGTTTTCCAATAAGACAACACGCGACACTTGACCAACGGCGGTACATTCCATCCGTTTAATTCCTATTTCCGTTAATTCTCCTTTATTCCATCCGTCAAGTATTGAAACATTCGCTTAAAGCAGCAGAAAATACATACTCCCATAACGAAGAAAAAACAGTCCAAGAAAATGTTTTGAGATGTTTAATTTTGTATTTTATTTCAGAAAAAAATATTATTAATTCAGTAATTAAACTGTCGTTATATATTCAAATTATGTCTCCCTCATCTTTAGTTTCTTTCATAAATTTTTTAAAAATTTATCTTGTTATATATATCATAAAATAACAATTTTTCACATTTTAAATATGTGCACTTTTCACATCCTAGTTTAATTCTAGTAAAATCTAGAACGGATTTTTAAAATTAAAGCAGTCATGATTCTGCGAAAAATAATTGATGATTTAATTATATGTGTGCTTTCGAATTATTTCTGTTTCAAGAGGTTTACTATCTTCTTCCAATAAAAGATATAATTAAAGGATATTGACATACGTATATTGTAATATCTCTTGTGTCTCGAACAATGAATAATCTCGTGTAAAATTTGATTTTTGTTACAGATTGCAGACACGTCCGCGACACGTTATTTCATCTTGAGCGTCTAATCGAGGTGCGACAATGACGAGACCGTACAATCGTCGACAGCTCGTCGCGTTACTTTTACTATTACAAACCGCCTCGAAATACGGTTACGCGGTTCACGCGGTTTCCGCGGAGTCGACGCACGCGGCCGACCTGTCGCCGTCGTCTGCATCCGTGCCGTCCGGTCTTCCGGCCCGTATTACACCGGGCCATCCGCGGGTTCGGACGAATGCGATCCCGAGATGGTTGGCTTCGAACTGGTAACCGGCTACGTGTAACCGCGCCTACGAACATGCTCGAGTCCATACCAGGCACGTTGATGCTCACCGATTGCCTAGAGACCTGGTCAGGCAACCGACTCCTGTCAGGCGGTCAACTACGAGACGGGCCTATGCGTCCTATTCAGCTCTAACGCCGACAGCAATCCAGGTAGGATTGAATCGTTATCGTATCTTTCTAAACACTGTAGTAATACAACTATCGACTATGCGCCGATAGCTAGCGAACTCCCGAGGCTATCCCATTGATAACCACTCCAAGATGGATGCAAACTTTTTCCTCTTCACGAAGAAAACGTTAGAGAAACATATAGTTCCTATACTACAAGAATTTTCTTTTAAATATTTTATGGAGTGCGGCTGTACATATGTACTGTGTATATATGTAAATTAATAGTATTGTTCTGATACATTTACAAAACAATATCATTATATTTTTTGTAAAGAAAATAAATCATTAACGGCAGTAGGTAGATATTTAAAAAGGCGAGAGAAGCAAGACGCGGTAATATTTCTTGATCCGTTATCATTAAAATTAGATTTCCATATGTACATGCGGGATGAACAAGCCTCGAGGTCCAGCGGCGTCTTCTTGTTGTTTTGCGCAATTACGGCGCTTCATAGGATAACCGAAGTATGTTAAGATCGTTTCACATCAGTCTCGTACGAACATTTTGTGTAATGTAAAGATCGCTTTGGGCGAAGCGCGATAATTTTCTGTACAATGCCTGCGGTACCAATTGCCTTGATCTACCGGATGAAAATAAGCGAAACAAAACGCGAAGGATAATAGACGGTGTCGTCCGGTACTCACGTCGGTGAGAATCGGGTCGATGTGCTTATCACACGTTCTTCACAAACTGTACGCATAATTTTTCATCTGTCTAATCCTTTAATTAATACATTAATAATGAAAAGATATTAAGAAAGAGATAGATTTTTCGCAAATTGATCAAGATTCTATACGGCTACAAAGATCGTACTAATTCCTACTAATTCCTTTAAAAAGTGGATACTAAAAAGACACGAGTGTTTTCGCATTAATGTCAAAGATTCGAGATCTTTATCAAAATATTAAACATACTTAAAAAAATTATTATTAATATGAAATTTAATACAAAATAAATACTTTGTTTATATTATGTAAAGTTAAGAATGTGATGATATACAATATAAAATGTTTTGTTAGTTTGACGCAAATATATTCTTTCGTGATAAGATGATTGAATTTTCTTGTTGATATACGCAAATAAATGTTCAAATATTTTCATATATGTAGAATACTGCAAACACTCTGCATAGCAATTGCAAGAATTTGTTTTTTAATATATATTTTAAATGGAATTTTTAATGTTGGAAAATTTCCAATGTCGAGTAATGTAAAAATATTGGGAATTTTGTATCCAATCGTGCAATAATTGTTTCCATTACACGTAACAATTTGTCACAAATATTATCTTCCATAATATGCGTTAGTTTTCATTTTCTCCAAACGTATATCGGTCATTTCCTTTAAAATCATTTTTATATTTTATATGTTCAATTACATATGCGCATTTGTGGCACTAAAGATATAAATGTGTAGTTTAATAAATACAATAATACAATAAATGATATAATAAATGAAAATCGAATCAGATCATTTTTCGAATTAAAACGCGTAAAGTTAATAAATTCTGTAATGCGTTTCATCAAGTGATATTGATTTCTTTAGCGAATAACACGAATAGTGGTTCGTGCTCTCTGGCAAATACCTCTGGAATTGCATCCGTTTTCGTTCGCGTGTTCGAATCTTATTTAAATTTTTGCAGAGTACGAAACTCTTTCACACTTTCAGTGTGGTTGATTTTTCTAGAAGAGGCTGCACCCGATGGAGCCACATATTGAGTGTCGCCTGAGGTAGTTTTTCTCGAGTATTTCTTGACCTATTATTTTTCCGACGCTGTTGAATGCTTTTACGGCACATACGCGAATATATTTAACTCAGAAAACGTTGAAATGTGTTGATAAATTCTCGAATAAACTGCATTGCAGTATTGTTGTATTTTATTTGTTTTTTATAATGCTTCAAGTGTTACTTAATAAAAAAAAATAAATAATAAATATTAAGCTCTAAACACATTTCTCAAAAATTTACGCTATCTATATTCGGTATAGATATGTGACAATTTATTTTCGCAAGTATTATAATTATGATTGAGCATACATAATCAATAATAATTCATGATCAAAAGTAAATTTATTCTTTCACATCGACATACAAACGCGATTTAAAGAAATTTCTCACATATTATATCGAAATAATTTCTCGTTTCCATAAACATATATTTCGCGTGCTTTATAGATAGAGAGAAGATCGATATATATATACGTTAGGTGCATCTATATATTCGGTTCTGACGATGAATTATAAGGATCACGTGCATTGTCAGAGGTGCTACTGCGGTGGTTCCTTATGAATAATGGATACCGGTATAAGTAAGTGTAATGAGAACGCACTAATTGAATCTTCCGGGGTATAATTAATATAAACTATACGTCCGCAGACGTCGGACTTGTGGGCATTAATTAAATGGCGGAATGAGATCTTATATACCTATGGAGAAGTGGTATTGTTCTAGAATATTTTTCGAGCGCATCTATCAAGAATAACACGTATACCAGGTAATTTGTTTCCGAGATGAGGAAATTAAAATGGGCGTATAATACCAGATGTATGAATGTACAATCGCGCGTTACGAATTGACCAATGCTTGAAATAATAATGGTACTTGAAAAACTGAACTATTATCGTTGTACGTAGGTACATTAAAACAGTCTGTAATAATTCACCGACTAACAACGAACGCGATCCAAACAGCAATTGTATTCTGTGCGATCCGCGCAATTCCTTCTCCGATTACCATATTATCATTATATATTTGTTTCTATGAAATAATATAAAGTAATGTAATTGTTTTATAATGATATTAATTAACGCTTAATTTTTTTCTAAATTCTATTATCGCTCTATGAGATATATGTATAGTTTCTAATACTTTTTATCTGCGGTTAGAAGTCCTTTGCACGGTAAATAAAAATGATCTAATGGATGAATCGTGCGCAATTCATTTCGTGTCAGTTTTTACATCGAGAACTAACTATATGACCGGAACAGATTCGGTTGAAAGATGGCATCGCGTTCCAATTGCGTGAGCCACGGCTGTAATTCGTGCTGCGAATCTGGTGAACGGAAATAAAAAGTAAGCGCGTCTCGCGATCTCTCGTGCAATCTACGATATATTTTTTCATTTTTTTTTTTTACACATCATCATATGCCGGATAATTGCCAAAAGGCACGACGCGCCAAAGTCAAAGGAAACGCGCAATTGTTGTTAGTCTTCGTTTTACGTCTTTTGCGCCGCCGTATAACCATCAAGCGAGAACATAGGTACGTGATAATCTAACGGTGCAGCAAGGATACGTAAAGGAACGTTAGCGTTTATGTCTAAGACGCAGGGAAAGTAAAGGCATTCACAGAGCACGGATATGCAAAAGATCTTTGAGCATTTTACGCACCAAGACGACCATTTACGGCGAATTTCTCTAGAAAATCGGGCTCTCTCGGGGCGCGCAAGTATGCCTGTATGTGACAGCTTGACGTTTACAAAGTACTCTTTTTACTGCCTTTAACCTTCCTTATCTCGCTTTCACGCGCTCGTTGTCATCTGTCGCCCGCGCTCGCGTTTTCCTCTTTCTTTCTCTATGAACTTAAATCGCGAAAGATTTAATCACGAGATTTCGGCGACGTGAAATCGACATTAGACGTCGTACACGTCAGTTCAATAGAATCTTCTACGAAGGCTAGGGATAGAAAGGAGGGAAGAAGGGAGGAGAAGGTTAATTCGATCGAACTGCAAATCGGTCAGTCGTGGACGTCCGAGAGCGAAGAGGATCTCGGTCACGCTTTGATGGTCTCTTGACACGAGTTTCCTTTCGGCACGGCCGTCGAATGGATCTTTTCGCCGCCATCTCCGCCACTTGAAAAACTAAAAGGAAGAAAAAAAGCCCACGCGGATCCGACTTTTATTCGTCGAAACCGAGACGAATAGCCGAATAAAATGTTGCTCCCCGGCTATACACAGCACGTGATCGTGATCGACGACGGGGCCTCGATACCGGCAATAAGAAGACGACGACGTCAACTGACGACGACACACCGACGTCACGATCACGAAACTTGTGAAGCCGTGGGCCCCGTTAGTCGATGATAGGATCGTCGTTAGACAGGCGAGCGAGCGAGTCGCCGACCTCTCTCATCGTCTCGTCTCGTCTCGTCTCGTCTCGTCTCGTCTCGTCGTCCACAGCGTGTCCCTCTTTCTGTCCTCGATACTTCGTTCTCGCAAAGGACCATTTGGTCCAGGAGGTAGTAAACCGACAGTCTGTCGAGGTAATTAGTTCTGGACGATATAATCCGGTTTAGAAACTCCGTTCAATCTGGGACTTGAATTCTCGCTAATACTGCCGCTTCCTCCTAATGCGTTCTTTCTCATTCTTTCTCGTTCTTCCTCGTGTCTCGATGTCGTAATCGAGGTCGGTCTCGGAGAAATTTGCTTCCATTGACTCGCAACGTCGATTTTCCGCCAGCCACATGTAAGCGCGCAGCTGCTTCTAAAGGTTTCCTCTCTAAAAATCGATATTGACGAATAATGGAAATATTGACAATTCTCCTCGATGTATCGTGGCTGTGGATATATTTTCTTTTCGAGTACCTTTATTCTATCGCGAATCGCGGAGAACGATAGAAATAATTAATATTACATGAAGCGCTACGGGTCATCTATATTCATCTAATAGCCCGCAAACGTAACGTGCAAAACTTTTCGCAGCTTCGCGACTAAAAAAAAAAGCTTTTTCGAGGTAAATGTAAAACAGTTTTTCCGCACGCCTAAATTTTGTTTCAACGCGTTAAACATTCAGGCGGAAATTATGCGCGAATTTATATTAATTATTACTTTCCAGTTGAAAAAGTAGCATGTAACGCAACACACGGAAATACATTTATCTATTTTTTTATTCTTTTAATAGATTGCGTTTCTTCTTTTCTTCTCTCTTTCTTTTACATGAGAGGTAAAAAATAAAATTAAATACGATTCGCTCTACTATATAAAA